CCTCCATCCATCCCATCCCTCCACCATCCTAAAACCTCCATCTCCACGAAGGCAAATTTTTTTGATTTTATACGCAGATAAAACATTAAATATAAATTGGACAATTAATAAATATGAATTTTTATATAATACCTATGATTTGCTAAGTCTTTAATTTCTTTTCGTTGCCATGATTATACAATGATTAATTTGAAGGGGAAAAAAAATGACAACTTTCTGGAGATTTTTTTTTTTTTTTTTTTTTTTTTTTTTTTTTTTTTGATTCTATTAATGTCGCATTGAACCCGCTTACGTATGGATTATATTTAGAAACATAGAAGACAAATTTGTTATGCAGTTTTTTTTAGTGTACTTTAGTTAATGTAAGTGATCTTTTTGTATTTGTTCAATATACTTTAAGATTATATTCTTATGTTTAAGTTCGATTAATAAGAGAAGTATCTTCAACTGTTCAAGATTATACATTTCAACTGTAATTGTTCTGGATTGCTTGTAGAAGTCTGTGGTCAAGTATAGAAATAGATAAATTTAGAAGATTGCCGAAGACGACTGAAGATGGCTGAAAAAAAAAAAAGAAACATCTGAAAATTGTCAAAGATGCCCGATAAGAAACCTCGTATAAAACTACAATCCTATCTGATCCAATATATTCGACCTTGTTCGATTTCATTCAATCCTTTTTTGATCTTGCTTGATTCTATTTGATCTTCGATCCTATTGAATCCATCTAATTCTATTATGTTAGATTAGAGATTGTAATGGAACTTGCGAATATAATTATTTATTTTGTAACAACGTCAAACTTGTCCTTTTGTTTTTTCTTTCTTTTTTGTTAATTTTTTTCTTTGTTAATTTTTAATTAAAGAAAATAATATTGGAAAATTATATGAATTATGTTATAGTGTTAAAAAAAAAAAAAAAAGAAATAAAATTATGATTATTATCGATTGTAAATTTGATTTTTTTTTTTTTTTTTTTTTTTTCTTTTTCTTTTTCTTTTTCTTTTTTCCTTCATAAGAAAAACATTACGTTCCTTGTTATTTATCATGGCGGGGAAAAATATTATATTTAGATTAATTATTATAAAATTAAATAAGTAAAAACTATGAACTTACTTAAGAATATATCCCTATTTGTATTTGAATTTATATTGTATTTAATGATGTATATTCGATAAAAGAGATTAATTACTTTTATCATTTTGTTTTAACTATCCAATACGAGTGAATAAAAAAGAAATATAATAAGAATTTTAAATAATAAATTAAAAAAAAAAAATTAGTATCGACAATAAATCGTCTTCATAATTTTTTTCTTTATAAATTATCAAGTCCTTGCTGTCTCGTGGAATAATTTTTTTTTTTTAATTCAATTAACGCAAGATTATTTTTATTGATATATATATATGTGTGTGTGTGTGTGTTTTCCAATGTATACGTAACTACATATTCTTCATATTGATTGATAATGTCGATTATGAAAGCTTTATTTGCTTAGATAATAAATCGTTTTAGGCAATAATCTGCGTTATTTATATTTAGTACGTAAAATAAATTGCTCCATGTAAAAAACGTTTTTTTCTTTTTTTTTTTTTTTTTCAATTAACATAACACAAATTTAATTGTTCTCTTTAATACATATTTAAAAAAAAAATTGTATTCAAATATTTTTACAAATAAGAATTGTCTAGCAGGAGTTTCTTTATTATTGGTATCACTGCCTCTAATCTGTGTACTACTTCAATCCATTTCATCATCATTAGGTTAAGAATTAGTAAATACAAACATGCAACGAAACGATTTCATAACAAAAATAATCTTATTATACATCGTGATAATATGCAAATATGTAACAGTGGTAGCTATACAAGACGATCAATATCAAAGTTATCCTGCTCAAGGCTTATATAATACCAGTGATAATGTAGTTGTATTAAATGCTACTAATTTTAAAACAAGTGTTTATGGAGATTCAAAAGGATGGTTAGTTGAATTTTATAATAGCTGGTGCGGATTTTGTTATCGTTTTGCACCAACATGGAAGGCTTTTGCAAGCGACGTTTATTGTAAGTGTTATTTCTTAAAAAATTGATCATCCTAAGAAATTGTAATTTTTCAATTAAATAAAATAAACAATTTATAATACAATATATATTTTTCAGCCTGGAGAGATATTGTTGTTATTGCAGCTATAGATTGTGCCGTAGATGACAACAATCCAATTTGTCGTGAATATGAGATTATGCATTATCCAACGCTTAAATATTTTCCTGTTAATTCGCATTCTTCTTTCATGGGTATAGTAGTTGAAAAAGGTGATAATGTTGATGACGTTAGACACAACTTAATTAAAAGATTGGAAAAAGAACAAGAAGAAGGACGTGGTATAACATGGCCTAACATTACACCTTATAGGTAATAATTAATTTAATTATAAAATTATTTTGCATTAATATTTTTATTATTTCTTTAATGTAGTAATAATATATTAATTTATTTATAATTTAATTATTGTAATCCATTTTATATAGGAATGCAGAGATAAAAGACATATGGAAAGTTGTACCTAAAACTGTAAAATATTTTTTTTTATTATTTGAGAAAACCGACTCTCATATGGGAACTGAAGTCATATTAGATATGCATAAAATTTCAAGTCTACAAATACGTAGAGTTATATCCGACAATGAATTATTATGTGTAACAAGTAAAATCACAAAATTTCCAAGTCTAATTGTAATGGGCCAAAAAGAACCGCAAAAGCTTTTAAATATTAGAATACCAACGAGAGAAGGTATTATACAGACAATTAAAAATTATATGAATTCAAAGGGTATAAATATAGATGAACAAATTATTGGGAATTACAATGGAGAATTGCTAACTCAAAAATCAAATACAATAAATGATACTAAATCAAACTCTCTCCAAAAACAGCAATATAACTCTGGTACATTTGAAGATCATTTATATCAATTAGATTTGGAAAATGCACTTAGATATTCCATTTATCATGAAGTACCAATGACTAAAATTATAGAAGGAGAAAAGATGGAGGCATTGAAATTATATTTAAATGCAATAGCCAAATATTTCCCCATGAGATACAGTAGTATTTTTCTTGACGTAATTCGTGATGTAATCAATAAAAAAGAAAAGATATCTGGAGAAGAATTCATTCGTTTAGTAAGATCAACAGAGGAGGAAATGTCACCAGTATACTCAGGCCCACAGCAATGGATTGGATGTAAAGGAAGTAAAGAAACATATAGAGGATATCCTTGTGGATTATGGACAATGTTTCACATGTTAACTGTTAATTTTGGAATGGAAAATAAAGATAAAACACATTATAATCCCATTGAAGTATTACGTGCCATGTATGGATATATAAAAAATTTCTTTGGTTGTGCCGATTGTTCAAGACATTTTGTAGAAATGGCATCGAGAAACAAAATATTTGAGGTACAGAATGGAGATGATAATATATTATGGTTGTGGAAAGCTCATAACGAGGTTAATGCAAGATTAGCAGGAGATGAAACAGAAGATCCTGAACATAAAAAAATACAATATCCATCACAAGATCATTGTTCGGAGTGTAGATATTTAAATCAAACTTGGAATGAAGCTCAAGTTTTATATTATCTTAAAAGAAAGTATAGTTATGCAGGAATAAATTATTACGGATCTAGTGAAAAACAAAGTAATGTAAAAAATGGTGGATCAAAAATGAGACAAGAACGACTTGCTTCTAACAAATATATAAGTCTTAAAAAATTGGGTTGGGATTTTACTGTATTTGATATAAGTATTTGTGTCGTATTATATGTTACATCTGCTACAATACTCACACTTGTTTGCATTAAATTCGCTGTAAAAAGAACTTACAGAAAGAAAGCATATCTAAACTTACTCGGTAAAGTATAAATTCTTGTTAAGAACAAAATTCACCGATGTATATTGTAGCCAATACATTTTTTAAGATATTGTATATATACACAAACACATCTGTGTATTCGACTGTATATATTATTAATATTATTTAATAATCTAGTTCTTCTATATGTATATTTCCATTTTTATATGTTATCGACAATTGAACAAATTTAGTTGTTGTTACCACAAAAATTCTTTAAAAAAAAAATTGTACAGATTGTACGTATGTATCTGTGTTATATTTCATTTAAACTTAGATATATTTGTGGATATGTTATAAAATTATTTTTTTAAAGGTTTAAAATTAAATACGTCATGAAACTTCCAATTGTACATTATTAATGCTAAGTTAAATTTTTTTGACCAAGAAAGATGTATGAAAATTGTACGTGGTTTTTTTTTTTTTTTTGTTTTTTTTTATAATAAATCCAACACAAAAACTTCATAATTATGACAATCTCAATGAAAGTGAGTGTTTGTCAAATGATTATTAATTGTAAATATCTACTATTTTGAACTTGAATTTAAATTTTGCAAAATTACATAAATATAAATATATCTAAAATATATCTATAATATGAATAAAACTTTATACATGGATATATAAATATATATTCCAAAAGGTCTTCTGTACAATCAGTTTAGTTAAGTAAATAATAACAATTAAATTTCATTAGCAGCTACAAAGATCAATTTGTATTCAAGTTGATCTTATTTGATTAAACATAATAATGGATTCAAATGATTACTCTGTATAAATTTTATATATGTATATATTTATACAGCACAATGTCATAATTTTCAATTACTAATATATAATATTTATAGAAGATAATAAACATTATTCATTATTTATACAATTTACAATTTTAAAAGTTCCATATTGACATAATTTATTTGTTCTTTAAAAGAATATACTTTAACTAGAAATGTCTGACATTGCCATTTAATAAATTTTTATTTATAACGATGTGCAAAATAGGAAATACATTTTCTTATTTTAAAATATATTTAAGTTTTTCATCATATATATATATATATATTATGTAGTACAATGTATGTGTATGCACAAGTATGTATATGAAACAAATTTTTGGTATGACTGTATGATAATGATGTTACAAAATATTTATAAAATACAGTTGAGCTTTTATAACTTGCAATTTCATAATTAATAAGAAAAATTCCAATTAAAAAGAACTTTTCAGTGACAAAAAAAAATGGAAAAAGACATTTTATACATCTTAAATTAATAGCTCATAGAAATGACTTTTGTTTGAAAATGTTTCAAGTTGGAGGGTTTCAACTGCATTTCAGATGAAGAAACGCACATCAATTAATTCATTTACTTTTTGCATTATTAATTTCCCATGTACTTTTTGTATCCCAAGTAATACCATCATGGGGTAATTGAGATTTTATATATGGAATCAACCATGTTAAAAACCATCGTTTACCAAGAACTTCCTTTATATTCTGTTGCCAACCAAGATCATATGTATCCATATTTTTATTACTTTCATTTGCTACACATCCATTAAAAACTAATCGAAAATGATAAATGCATAAAACACCTGTAAATAACATTCCTACAACAGATACAATATAAAGTAATAAATAAAATTGTTCTACGGAACCATCAAATCCAAAAACAAATATTGCCAAAGGAAATATTATTTTTATAATGGACATTGGAAATTCAAAATTTATTCTAGCCCAAATAAAATAATTATTATAACAAAATGCATAAACTGTAGCAATGAATAAATAGAAAAGGAACATTAAAAAGTATCGATGATTAAAATAACCAATACAACAGCCTGTAAAGATACAATGATGATCACGCTTTAGAATACATGTTCCGCACGTTGAACAGTGCCATGAACGAGGTGGAGCAAGTATTTCACAAGTTGCACATAATCTCCATCCATTCTTAGAGCTAGCTGTACTCACTGGTACAATAGTTCTATTAATACTAGTATCGCACAATACCGTATAGGTAAAGTTACCCACAATATTTAACATTATAAAATTACCTATAATAAAGTGCATAAAATATGGTATTGTATTATGCTTATATAATGCAGGTAATACTACCCATAACTCGAACCAATATATTAATGGTACAATTGTTAATATAAATATCATAGAACAAATGTCACTTAATGTGCGAGGCCAAATCGTTTTACGAATGATCATTTTTGACGATTATAACTATATAGTTTTTATTCGCACATTCACTTTTTATTGATCTTTTCGATAGATTCACAATAAGGTTAATTAAAAATTTTATGTCAACATCGATATTCCCTTGTGCCCTTAATAGACACTTTATTTTTTATATTTACATGGATAAATATATCAAACTTACACGTTGACATATTTCTTTTTCTTTGTTTCTTCTTTCTTGTTTCTTCCTTTTTAATTCCTATCCTCGTAAAAACGTATTAGATATTTCAAATATCCAATTGAAAAGGGAAGAAACTTGTGAGCCTTCAGCACTTATCCTTAATATTTATTCATAACCTCGTCAAAGATTTTTTTCTCTTTATTTTTTAAAACGTTTACTTTAAAAAAGTAATGAAAAATATATGGAACATTACTTTTTCTGTTCCTATTTATTAATGCAATGCATTAAATTAATTCAAATCGTATAATATCTGATACAATTTAGAACATAAACATAGCACGTGATTATTTGTATACCATTAAAATGACATCTAAGATACGGAATGAACTTATTATTTATCAAGTTAGAATCGTCAACGCCATCTGACGTTACAAGTATAGAATTAAAGTCGTAGGCAGTGACTTTTGCCTACAATTTTATATTTGATTATGATCGCATCAACTAAGAATTAAAGGAAAAAAAGTAAAGCATAGACAATAAGGAATGGATATATGTTGATAACAAATTCAAAGGAACTGTCGTGAATATATCGCCGTTCAGAGGGTACTTCATTGATATTCTGCATATTTATTTATTAAAAACATGTCGAAATATAAGATTGTTATGGTTCGCCATGGTGAGAGCGAATGGAATAAATTAAATCTATTTTGTGGATGGTACGATGCTAATTTATCTGATAAAGGTAAGATTATAAATGTCATCGACAATTTTCGCAAGGGCAAAAGGTCACGAGATCTTAACAATTTCTTTTTCTTTTTTTTGTTCAAGATATACAAAAAATGTTGAAAAAAAGAAATATTTTCAGTTTATTTATTTTTTTGTTCTTTTTTTTTTTTTTTTTTTTTTTTACAGTTTTTTAAATTGTCATAACGAAATAATGCATACTTTAAAATGGATTATGAAAATAAACCGATAAAATTTATTATAGAAAATTACATTTTTCTTAAAATTGTAATATATAACATATCATAGTCATCCATCTATTTACTCGTTCCTTTCTTCATATGTATGGAGTGTTTGTAATTTTATATATATATATATAAAAAAAAAAATTATTCAACAGGTAAAACTGAAGCTTTATCAGCTGGAAAAGCTGTTAAAGACGCAGGTCTTACTTTTGATGCTGCTCATACGTCGGTCTTGACAAGAGCTCAAGAAACCTTGAAAGCTATTTTGAAAGAAATCAATCAAGAAGATATACCTATTCTTAAAACGTGGCGATTAAATGAACGTCATTATGGTGGTCTAACTGGTATGAATAAGGCAGAAACAGCAGCAAAATATGGAGAGGAACAAGTACAAATCTGGAGAAGGTCTTTTGATGTACCACCTCCTGCTATGGAATCTGATCACAAGTATTATGAGACAATAACTAAAGATCCTAGATATGCTACTGAGCCCAAGCCTGAAGAATTTCCTAAATTTGAATCATTAAAATTAACCATTGAAAGGACTCTGCCTTATTGGAACAATGTTATCATACCACAATTGAAAGAAGGAAAAAAAATCATTATAGCTGCACATGGAAACAGTTTACGAGGAATAGTGAAGCATCTTGATCGTAAATATATTCATTATATAAACTTTATTATTATTGTGATAGAATGTACGATAGAAAAAATTTTATTTTATTTGCAGAAATGACAAATGATCAAATCATGGGCTTAAATCTTCCTACTGGTATTCCTTTTGTATACGAATTAGATGAGAATTTTAAACCAGTTGTTTCTATGAAATTCTTAGGTGATGAGGAAACTGTTAAAGCAGCAATGGCTGCTGTTGCTGCACAAGGAAAGGCAAAATAAAGTATTAAAGAGAATCATTCTCAAATATTAATTTTCAGTCAATGATTGTATCATAATTAATGTTTCATATAATTCAAAGTATTGATTAAACAAAATATAAATAGATGGAAAAAACTAACAAGTTAGAAATAAGAACATTAAAATGTCTAATTATTAATGCTACATATGCCCAAAATCCTTACAAACATTTTTATTTATTTTTTTTTTTTTTTCAAACATGTACATAGTATATATTTATGTACATATTACAATGTATTATGGCAATGCCAAAAACCCAAGTATAATTTTAGTAATGAAAAATACGAACAAATACACAGTTATCTCTTTTAGAGAAATATATCCAAATATATTCTATATTTATTCTTTTATTATATAAAAAAGAAAAGATCGTATATGACATAATAATAAATATTATTTATATAATACTGTATCTATTTTATGAGAATACTATAAACGAAATATTACATAAGTCAATATAAGATAACGCTATACTTATTTGCATCCATTTTTAAAAATTAGTTTGCTATTGTAAGATAGCATGAAAACACCCTGTATCTTCAAAACGACGAATAAAATTAAAAAAGGATATAAAGTAAATTTTTAATTTGAAATAATCAATTTCAAACAAGAATATTAAAAAGTCATAAAGTGGTGAGTGAAATCGTGACAATGTATACGATTTATTGTCAGTACTAGAAGAATTTTCAATTTTGTCTTTTTATATAGGTTATATTTCAATGGATGCCTACCGATTTCTTTATATACCTAATATAGGTTAATGCGTCAGAAATAAATGCTTTGTTACAATTCGAGCTCTTTCATTTTTATAATTGGTGAAATCATAAACAATTAAACAAAAAAAAAATATATATATATATATATATATCTTCGAAAAATCGTATAATTATATTTAAAAGAAATCAAATCAATACATGTAAATACAAACATACAATGAGTTCTGATAATGAAGAATTAATGTTGACAAACGAAGAAGATGATCTTTTTGATGAAATATTATGTATGAGTACAAATATAAAGACGCATGCACAATCGAAGAAGCATGTCAAAATAGAGGATAAATCGACAAATAAAAATAATTGTACAAATGAATCAGAAGCAAAAGAATTGAAAATTCACAATGCGTCGCAAATTAAAAAAAATGATAATAGCGGAGAATGTCCCAAATATAAAAGTATCGAACAATCTGACAAATTTGACGACAATGTACCATCGATTCATTCAAATGTAAACAAAAGGCCAAGAGATACAACATTGGATACACGAAATCCTAAAATATCATGCCTTAAACATCGCGATGATTCAAGTTCTACAACTAATAGTACAAAAATATATCCAATAGAAAGCAATAAAAAACGTGTAGAATATGAAACCGATCCTGCAATACTTGCACGGAGACAAAAAGAAATAGATTATGGAAAAAATACTATTGGATATGATCGATACATTCAAACCGTTCCTAAGTAATAATTCTATTAACAAAATTAACTTTTTAAGACCAGTGATGTTTATAAATTTTCATTTTATTTTATTATTATTTTCATGAATATTATGTTTTATATATAACATTTTATATTGTTATATTTCAGAGAGCAACGTACAAGAGATCATCCAAGAACTCCTCCAAAATACATTAAATATAGCAGAAGAGGATGGGATGGAATGATTAAATTATGGAGGAAACAGCTTCATTATTGGGATCCTCCGCAAGAAAATGAAAGTACTGAACAATGATAGTTAAATAAAGTTGGTCATTTTTATAAGAATACAATAGAAATAAGGTATTGAAATATAATTAAAACAGTATTATGTTATGATAAATTATGAAAACTATATACAAAAGTGTTCATAAATATTATCATTTTAATTTCACTTCAAGTTTCTTAAGTATAGTATCTAGTTTTTGATTAATATTCTGTTCAATTTCATTTAATCTGTGCATAGTTCTTTTTTCCATTTCATGAAATTTATTATTAATATATGTTTCAATGTTTGTAATTTCTACATTTTTACAATCATCTTCGCAATTAAGATCCACTTTTTTGGTCTCTTCGGTTATATTTTTATTATTATTTTGTATTTGTAAAGTATTGGAAATGATAAGATTTTTTAAAGGTATAATTTCATCATTTACAGGATTATTTTCTTGTTTAAAAGATTCTAACATTATATTAGCTAAAATTTCTTTTTGCTGTGTTGAACCATTTAAGTTATTCAGAAAATTTGTTATTGTATAATCAAGTATCTCTGATTTATTTTCTTTAACAGATTCTGTCAATATAAGTTTTATACCGAATATCCATAACATGGGTTCTGCATTTTTTATTTTCGTAAACTGAAAGACAAAGAATAAGAAGCTGCAATTTAGTAAGAAAACAAAGATTCTTATAAAATAAAATTATATATTACTTTAATACTGGCCTCAGTACTAGGATGTTCTAAACTCATTTCTGCTAAATATATAGTACTTCCTATAAACTCATCTATTTGTTCTGCAAAGACTGTAGTTGCATATTCTCCGTATTGTTTAAAAAATTCTAAGACGTACGCTTCAGAGAGAATTATAATACGTGATATTTTTTGATTATTTGTTAATTTTATGTCCAATGTACATGGTTCTTTCACTTGTTCCGTCGAACGTAAATAAATACATGTATCCAAAGAAATTATATCATCTAAATCTATACTATAACACAAATATTAATTAGGCTTTAATTTATATTTTTCTAATTTTCTTTTTCTCAAAAAATATATTTATTACCTCTCTGGAGCAAGTGATAATGGTATTGTTGTAATAGTATCTACATAACATTTCTTTCCGTCGATCATCCAATTAGATGAAACTTGTATGAAGTCTTTTATTGAAGACGTTGCGGTTAATATTTCACAGTTTTCTTCTACTGTTGCCTCCATTTCTACTCTAAATTATTTAATAAATATGTAGAATTTTCATTATATTATTTGTACAAAAATTAAAACTAAAAAATTAAAAGTAAAAATATATAAGTAAAAATATATAAGTAAAAATATATATTGGATTGCATATTTAATTTAATTTTGTACAAATAATATTAAATAATTAATTAACATATAGGACATTGTAAAAATGAAAAGTTATTACGACGCGAAGATGATAACAACGAATGAGATACATAACCTTTTTTGCACAATACTACGATAATTCTTTTACGGCTAAAGTTCGTAATATTTCCGACAAGACGGTTTTAATATTACGCTCGTATATCAAGATATTTTCGATACGAATGAAGAAGAATTGTTGCTCAAAATTATTTATCATCTTTCGATCAAGGCATGTGTGACTACAGCGATGTACATGGACAAAATATGAACTATGAATGCAATATGGAGGAAACAATGTCCTCCATCATATACCTATATTGTCAATATGTAGGCTAGTATAGGTTATAATCTTACGCATGACAGGTTATATTTCTCAGAAAGATAGATTGCTTGAAAGATATTTGTCAATTGAAGAAATATTTTGTGTTTTTAATTAAATTTATACATGTAGTTAACACGATATTATTTATGACGAAATGTGATAAATATTATAACCAAAGTAATATCGCGTAGAACGGAGTAAAAGAGTTTCGATACTTATTAGCTAAGATTCAATGATATACTGATTGTTTATTATTTATCAAAGTCTTCCTTCTGAAGGGTTAATACCTTTCCTTCCTCATTATTGATTTACAAGAATAATCGATAACGAAAACCAAGTAAGATTTGTATATCAATGAAAAGTAGTAATTATTCATACTTATTTGTATGGAATAAGAGAGCTTTATGTTTATTGATCAAAATATTTATAATTAATTCGAAAATTATCAGAATAGCCATTTTAAAAAGTATTACTAAAATTATTCTAATTATCTTATCATTAAAATTATTCCAAATTTCTCGAGTGTTAACATCCTTTTTTAATCAGATTAAACTTTCGTCTTTAAAATGAGATCATGTTCATCAAAATCGATCCATAATTATTCTTATTAAATAATCTCAAATCCAATATTCGTATACTTATATTACGTTAAATGATATAAAACTTTAGGAAATAGATAAATATAATTACATGTACATATTTTGTAAAGTTATTTTTTTATTGATAAACTTCTTCTTTTTAAAAAAAATGAAACTTTCTTTAACAAACATGCACACATACAATATTGCATTCAGTATAGTTAAAATATTTTAATAATAAAATATAATTGATGAAACAATATTTACAATTATTGTATTCAAATTTGTAGATTTGTAAATTAGTTATAGTGTTACGTAATACTATAAGGTTTTATATTATTTAGATTTTATATTATTATTCGGAATTATTTGTCAGAAAACGATGGATATATCTTTTGTCTTACTATGATCGAGCCAGTGGGTTTAATGTTAACTGAAAAATAATATTATCAATATGTGTAATAGATTGCACAATTAAAAAAATATTCAATACCTATTTTGTATGGTTTATTATTTTTACAAGTACTAAAAACACAGGATTGGGATGGTACTTCATTGTAAAGAATCTCATATTTATTTTTTCCAAGATTTAACTTTTTCTGTTTTAAAATAATTCTTTGACCTGCTAAATTTTCCAATTGTACCTATATTAAAATTAAAAATCACATTGTTCATTGCAAAAATAAAATTATTAAAAGATAATTTTAATTAGTGTACATTAAAATAATACATACTGTTTTAGGTATATCTAAAAAGAAAATTTCATCATCTTTGGAAAGATCCTTAAGTGTAAAAGCTGATATAGTTGAATCCTGAAGTAATTCTTCTTTTCTGATAAAATCTTGTAACTAAAAACAAAATTTTCATGAATTATATATAATAAACAATATATTTAAATTCTTATAAATTTTTTAATCTTACATTGCATGGTCTTTCATGAAATGTTTCTTCTTGTTCATAATTTTTAGATATATCTGTTTCTCTGGGTTCTGTGGTATATTCATTGTTATTATCACTGTAATGATTGATACTATTATTGTGACTTATACTATTATTTTTATTCTGTATATTAAAAGTACTTTGATCACTTTTATGATCTATTTTAGATGATTTCTTTAATTTTAATTTACTCCATGTTGTTTTTTTGGAAATACATTTTGGACTATCAACACAAATCTTTTCATTTGAATTTTGTTGTTGTAACATTTCATCCTCACTTGAAGTATTATCTATGATCAAATTTGACTTTTTATTACATGTCATAATCTTTTTGAAAATTGTACAATTTGAATTATTAAACAAAATTTCTTCATTTAAATTTTCGTCCTCGCTTGAAGTACTTTCTATAGTCAAATTTAAATTTTTAATTTGTTTTAAACGTTTTTCAGATGGTGATAAAATACTACTATTCATACTGTCTACATAGATTAAACTGTCCTGTGATTCTTCTTCTTCTTCTTCTTCTTCTTCTTTTTCTTCTTCTTCTTCTTCCTCATATTCAAAAGATTTTAGAAAAGAATTATTTTCTAATAATTTGGCACTATTATCAGATTCATTCGACAAATTAGTATAAGATCCTTCGTTATTAATTTTTTTATATTTGATATTGATAATTTCAGTGGATGTAATTCTAGGAAGTGATTTTTGTGTTCGTTCAGCAAACGAATTTAGGAGGCATATGTCATTTTTAACTTTGTTACTTTTAATATCGAATAAATCTATACTATCACATGATATGTCAGAATTATATGTTGCTATTTTTTGTTTTTCAGAAGTTATATTTATGTCTTCTGTAATTTGCCTGATGTCATTTGGATTTTGTGATACATCCTCTTGAATATGATTAACAATTTTTGAAATTTTAGGATGATCTATACTCTTCTGATTTTCATCATGAATAAGAGCATCATTATTCTCAAGGCATTTAAAATCTGATATTCTTTTAGAAGTTTCTTTATCATCCATTGATAAATTATTACTTTTACGATTAAAAAGTTCTGTTGATTTTTTTCTTTTCTTAATTACAGTCCTATCATCATAGGTCTTTAAAAAATTAGAACTCTTTTCTTTATTATTTATAAGTTGTGTTTTTTCAGTTTCTTTTAAACATTGTAAATCTATTAATTGTTTTTTCTTAACTGGAACATCAGTATTTTGTAAATCTGAAAATGATTCAATATCCAATAATAACTTTATAGAAAAATATTTAGATTTCAGTGATATTATCTCAAATTGATTTAAACTAATAAAGTAGAATACTTACTATCGTGATACTTATCTTGAAGAATATTTGATCTTGTTTTTGTATTCTTTTTATTCATTTGATGAGAGTATGAATCAATGAATGAAATTTCATTTTCTTGTGTCTTGATTTTCTTTGGAGTAGAAGTAATAATATTTTTATTATTATATATTTCATTCTTAGATTTCTTTATCTTATTTTTATAAATATTTCTGTGCTTGATTGAATAATCCTCTTCTCCATAGCTATCATCATCTTCAGTCAATAAATCTTTTGATTTATTTTGATTTATTAATTGTTTCATATCAACATATTCCTTATAACTTTTTAAGGTTCTATGCTTTTCTAACCAATTATTAAATAATTTCGTTCTTTTTCGAAATTTTTTGGAGCCACTAAATCTATGAATTAATGATGATTCTATCATTCTATCATTTACAGAATTTTTAGTAATTTGCCATGTAACCTCTTCCATGCTTTTACACTGTATTATTATTTAATGATGAAAGAAATAAATTAAAAATATTAACATATGTATTACTATATTAATGATACATATATATATATGACAATATTAATGACGTGCAATGTAAAACTATAATTTTTCTTTGATACATATAATATTGAAAAAAATTAAAACAATCTTGCGATCGTATTAACTTTTGTGAATGTGATTTCAGCGATAGATGTGGACGAAATAAGAACTACAAATGATATTATCATAAAATGATAACATTGCATGTACAAAATTTTGTTATATTTTTATTGTTGATCTTTTTATACAATTTAATTGTTTAATAAAAACAAATATAGTGTAATAAATTGTACGAAATTAATCGTTATACAAAAGCTAACAATTTTCGATCGAATCAATAATACATTTAAAATATTTCATTTTATTACAATAATAAAACAATTTATTTTATATATTACTTAAACGTAAAAAATTTATTTTATATAAATAGATATTTTATCTAAGTACAATTTTTTTTTTTTTTTTTTTTTTTTTTTATCAGATCATCAACGTACAATTTCGCATATACAAAACACACATCAAAGAGTTACATTCATTCATTAAATCAAAATTAAGATCATACATAAAGTCCTCTACAATTATATCATATCCGTTAGATAATATTTAACAATTAATATGAAATATTTATAGAGAAACATTTTTTACACACTCATTCGCGATATATATATATATATATATATATATATATAACATATATACAATATTATAAATAAATAATATTTTAATTTATTTTATACACGAAACGGTCATTATTCCTATATATAAAAACATATCTTCTGTTAATATCTCTTATTATCGATTTCTGTCCTTTTTTTTTTTTCTTTTGTTTCTTGTTACAAGAGATATTGAAAATACGTATTTAATTTAACTCAACCACCACTTGTTTACTTGAAATATATTTTATATCAATCTATAACTATAGTCCATGGATGATCTGGTATATATCCATACTGTATATATTTTAAATGTTTTTCAAGTTTTTTATAAATAGGATTAGACTGTTGTAAAGTTGGTATATGAAAATCACGACCCATAAAGCCTATATTAGAAATGGGACTAATGATGCAGGCAGTACCAGAACCAAACATTTCCAATAGCTAATAGAAAATAAAAAATGAATTATATAAGGAAAACGATTTTTCACTGTTGCATAGTTAATTATTTTAACTTACTCTATTTTCTGAAAGTAATTGACAAATTTCCTTCATGGAGATTTTTCTTTCGGTAACTTTATACTGATTCCATTCCTGTGAAAGAGCCAATATAGAATTCCTTATCACACCGGGTAAAATCAAACCATTCAATGGAGGCGTCACCAATTCCTTTTCTATAAATACAGGCAAAAATAAGTTATTATTTTAAATTCAATGATTTTTCACATGTATCATAGAAAAAAAAAAAAATATGCTTATAGAGTTATAAACAAGTAATCTTCTTTTTTTTTTACATGCTAATACGATTAATAATTTAATGATCAATATCTACTTATAGATATAATTTTATTATATCTATTTATATTTATTATATAGACTAATATTATTTGAGTTGCAAAACAATGATGTAAAAAAGAAAAAAAAAAAAAGTAAATGGGAACAAACTTGTTCTTAAATAAAACTTGATTCGTACCACCATCATCATTGATGTAAACCATAAAAATGTTCATTGCTCCTACTTCGGTTATTTCATTATGTTCTCCATATAGCCATAGCACTTGTTGATATCCTTTTTTCAGAGCTTTTTTTACTATCTTGATCGTAGGACCATAATTACTTCCCACTTTATGATTTCCACAGCCACCTGGCCATGAGCGAGTATGTCCTGGATCTGCAAGCAGGGACACCCCAGTTTCCATACTGGTATTAAAGTATGATCCCACGGGGCATAATATTACATACAATAATGCTGAATCTGGCGCTGATACTCCCAATGTAGGCTATACAAATAAATTATGATATTTTTATTTATTTTTATCATATATAATAATCGTTTTTCAATCGCATTAAATCATTCGTTACAATAAATCATTAAAGGCAATAAATTACGATCCATTTTACATATATGCATACACAAATATTTTATATATATATATAACATACTACTATACATAATATAATATTATAACATTCCGAATTATACATTCCAAATTATATATGTAAAATCGTTGGTATATTTACGAAAAAAGAAAAAAAAAGAAAATAAATAAAAAAAAAAATAGACAAACGAATATCTTATTGCAAATAGATTAGATGTGTTTGTTTATTTAACTAAATGTTCATTATATGTAAAATCAGATGAAAAAATCTGGTTAAGAATGGCCGATGTATATACAACATATAATCTATGACGATTATATGTAAATTTACAAAAATGACAAATAACATGATACAATGATTGGCTTTATGAATATTAATGTATTAAACGTACTTCCACACGATATAATGAATTTTTTTTCATCATACTTAAAAAGTTTCTGTTATCATTGTATCTGATTATGTCACGAGATTATCAGGAAGAACTGAAAATATGAAATTTCATCAATCTTGTTTTTTTGAATCTGAAATAACAGAATATTTACAACAGATTAAATATAAAAACAAAACAAAAATTGCGAACATTTTGGAACTTTATAATTTTCAAAACTATATTGTACTATAAACATTATGCAATAAATATTGCTTTTCTGTGTGTGCGTATTTTACAAAACAAAACTAATTTGAAGAATAAAAATTATCCATAAATCATGTTAAATATATATAAAAAAAAAAATACTTTTCTTTCAAAAATTAGTATTTTTTTTTTCAATTATTTCAGTCGTGAAAAAGTTACAAATAGCATTTAATGTTTCCCAATTATATCAAGTGTATTGATGATAACTTTCAGATGAACTATGCTTTAAAGAAAAGAGTAATAGATAATACTCATATCTTTTTTGTAATTGTGAAACAAGACTGAAGAAATAATACTGCTTATAAGAAGACTATAAGGTTATACAACAATCAAAGGTTGTTCATAGATAATAAATGATCAATATAAAATTTCATCTATATAAGCCATAATGTAATATGATTTAAATGACATTCTATAGTGAAGATAAAATTTTCATATATAATTAAAGCATTATTACCAAGTTATATATTATGTAAATAATCTTCTCCTTATTGACATTCTTAATTTTTTTTTTTAAGCAAAATATGAGAATTATATTATTTCTTTTATCTAACATGTGGCCCTGCCCCAATAAAAGAACATCAAATCTTTATTTATCTTATTTATTTTTCTATTAATATTGTTTGTTGAGAAATTTACTGATTATTATTTCTATACAATGAAAGCGATGACGTCAGTGACATAAGTGACACTATTATCGCTCACATTTTGCTTTTGATTTATTAAATAAATCCTTCTATTATGTGTTAATATATAATATCGATTCACGATCTTTCTTTTCATCTTTGTTTTATAAAAAAAATCTAAGAATACTTACATCAATTCCTATTAGTGTAGGACGTATGTAGAGACTAGCAGCAGTTGAATGTGGAACCCATTCCTGGTCTATGCTTATTAATCTAGTAAAACATTGAATTAATTCATTTCCATTGAAGCTAGGTAGACCAGATACTATTGCTGAATTATTCATTCGCTCCATATTCAGTTCAGGCCTAAATATTCTTATTTTTCCATCCACTCCTCTATATGCTTTCATACCTTCAAACAACTAAAAAATAAATAAATAAATAAATAAATAAATGTATGTAATTAATTTGATATTTATACATTTAATCATGTACATTGTTAATACAATTACATATATATATATATATATATATATATATATATATATATATATACCTCTATTGCATAATGTAAGACTTTAGCCGCTGGATGAAGGACTAAATTTTCAAAAGGTGTAATTTCTGGTGCCTGCCATCCACCTAATGTTTCATAAAAAAAAATTTTAAGCATGTGATCTGTGAAATATTTGCCGAAAGAAAGCGATCTAACATTTGGTTTTGGTTGAAGTTGATGTGGTGCTGCAAGACGAACTGACAAATCAGCGTACTATATGAGAAGAGAGAGAGAAAGAAAGAGAAAAAAGTGAAGAAAGGTTAATTAATTTGTTTAATTGTAACAATTAAAATAAATTTTATTATGGCGAGGATGATACCTTGAACGATCGTTCCGGTTGAATCTCATTTTTATCTCTAATTTTTAAAGACGAACTCCATCTTAAGCTTTTCTGTAGGTGATTCAGAGAAGTTCCAGACGATAAAATCTAAATTTAATATAAACGATATTAAATTTACAAATTTAATACAAAATTACAAATGCAAATTAAGAATTATTTCTTTCTTAAAATTATCACTAAGAACTTAATTAAATATCATTTAAAAAAAAATTATATTATATGAATAAATACAAACATAATAATAATTCAATTTCACCCATTATTGATGACTTTAATGTTAATTTCGTATTCATATTTAAGTAAGTTATGAAAAATATTATTCGTTGAGTATATAGGTTAGGTTAGTTTGACACGTGTGTATAGATATGTACATATGTACATATATATATATAGGCACATACACCAATAAGTATCAACGGTTATATGTAAATTTCGCGCTAATCTATAACGTTATAGATTAAATTGTCATCGAACACAAAAAAAAAAACTGGAAAAAAAAAAAAGAAAAATAATTATCCATTACCAATTGATAAGCGTTGTTAATGAGTTTTAGAAAGCCTTGAATTTTAAGTTCGAATAGTTTAGTATTATTAAATAGTTCTATTATCTAGAAAATTATCTAGAAAAAAATTAGCTTGATTATTACGATTACGTTTATATACGTCATTTGTATCAAGAAGGAAAAAAATATTTAGAAAACACATTTAATTAATACAAATACGTACGTAAATAAATTTGAATTGTTTATGATAAATTGTAAACATATGAGAATCTCATATATTTACATTATGAGATTTTATATACTTGTTATATATAAATAAGATAAATATACGTCAAGCGTGATAATACTACTGAAATATGTATGTTGCAAAGTTTTAAGAATTTCCATGGTAAAATAATGTGGTCTTACAATCTTTTTATTTTATTTTTCTCATCGTATCAATTCCCGATCAAGTTCATTGATATGATAAAATTATTGAATAAATGTAAGATCAATCAAAAGTTAATTAATTTAATATTTCATTTACGCGTATTAACCATATCAATAATTCGTAAAAGAAATATTATTTATTAATTTTTTAATTTGTAAAAATTTATTATGAAATAATACAATAAATGACTGATGTGAAATTTGTCACGTGCATTACAATTCCTTTTCTTTTTTTTTGGATATTTTATTTATTATTATTTTTTTTTTTTTTTTTTTTTTTTTTTAATGACACAAAACAAAAGCTTTCCTCTATGTTATTTAAATGTCCCTCTTTCAAAAGATATTTCGTCGGATCAATCATATTAGTAAAAAAAGGAATTGTCTCTAATTTTCGAACGGTAATGTATTTCTTTTTTTTTTTTTTTAGTTCTTTTTTGTTTTTGCTTATTTTTCTAAATTAATAAACGCAATACAATTGTAAAAATAACGTAAACTTACCTTACGTCGCAGATAAACCATGGTATTCAAATAAAAGATTAAATCAATTCGTGTACGTAAATTTTATGTAAATTCGAATATAAAAATGTTCGATATCCAATTGATCATTCACGAATAAATATAATAATCTTGAAAATAATAATCTTTATATTTTTTGTGACTGTTGTGGTTATCCGATGATATTTCTCAAATATCAATTCTCGTACTAATATCCTCGTCCTTTTGCGATGTATTTAAAAAAAAAATCCAAGCCAAATAAGGAAGAACAAGAATAAAATAAGAAGAAAAATAAAAGGAAGAGGAAGAGGAAAAAAAAGAAGAAGAAGAAAAAGAAGAACAATAAAACTAGCACTAAGATGGAACACACGGCGTAATATATAAGCCAGATATATATCTAACGTATTTGTTTTTTGACGAAAATATACTTGATAAGAAAATAAGGAAAACTCATAAAAATTCATCTGCGTAAGTCACTTCCGTAGTATCCGTTTCCTTGCTTATACTTGACTAATATATTTAAATTGATTATTCGTTTAATAGTTTGTTTATCAATGTTAAAAGAGTGGGAAAGAAACGTTGGAATTATGAGACATTATCCCCACCCAAAAATGAAAGAAAATGTAAGCAGGGAACGAATATCGTTGATTCGGCAAGTACATATTTATGTATTTATAAAAAATAAAGCATATGATTAATCGTACGATTAAGAATCCGAGAGGGGACGACAGCTACTTGAAAACATGTTGATAATGGATGTCGTTTTTATTGCGATAAGGAATAAATGTCTTACCGAGTGCTTTGTTGTCGAGAACATTGAACGTGCGTACAAAACGTTCGTTTTACCCTGTATAAAACTTTTATTGGGAAAAAAAAAGAGAGAAAAAAAAAACGAAAATGCATACTGTGACGTACAATAATTGACCGCGTTCATGTTCATATTTTCAATTTATATTTTTAATTTCTAATGAAAACATTATTATTCATAACCTTCATTATTTTGATAATATTTATTTTCCTAATTGTATACACCAAGAAAAAAAAACGAGTAAGTTACTGTATTTTAATAAATTATTCACCTAAATACCTTATCAATCTTAAAACGATATTCAAAGTTCGACATTACGATTGGCCATTTAGATTACGTACTGACGTGACCTATAGCATAATTATTTAACGAATACTTTAGTAATCATTTTATTTTATTTTTTTGCGATTAAGCTTATTCGTCGATTTTGGTTAACTAATGATTCGATAATAGTAAATAATGTAAAGATTTTATAGGACTATTTATAATTGTATATATACAATGTATATATATGTGTATATATGTGTATATTTTAGTAATTAGAAAAAAGAAAGACGATAAAAAAAAGATAGTGCTAAATGGATAGTGCTAAAAGTGAACAAGATTGTTTATTTTTTGTTTTTGAAAATATATGATTATATATTTTATATATTATATATTATTATTATATATTATTAATATATATATATATAAAATATTAATATATTTAATTGTATTAATTCTATTTAACTGCTGAAAAAATATATAATATAAATTTTTAATTACGTGTTTTATATTAGCGCTAAATATAGTGTTTTTTCAAAATTACTAAGATCGAAAGGAAAAAATGATGGCAGCACTGAATCGATTAGAGGAAGTACGTCAAGCGACAGTCAATGAAAGTTTATAGGTTAGTTTCATTGTTTGGACGTTTTAATCGCGAGTGGTGATATTCAAGTTTTAAATAATAAAGAAAAAAAGAATAACGAGAAAATGAGTAATTCAACTATTTCCGATCAATCCCTCATGGATAAGTCCATGCGAAGTGTATTCGGTAAGATATTCAATAATTTTTATTTGAGAAATATAAATACTTAACCTGTTAACCTATTAACAGATTCAAATTTTCTTATGATATAAATACAAATAAATCATTTGTTTCTCACTTCTATTAAAAAAAATATTATATTTTTCAATTTATCATTTTATCATTCATTAATTCGTGCCAAATTTCACTTCATATATTCATGTTTAACGATCGACAATATTGCCGGTTGACAAGTTGAAAATAAAGATTTAATTAGAATCTTTTTTCTTTTTTTTGCAGTCGGGAACATCCCGTACGAAGCTACAGAAGAAAATTTAAAAGATATATTTAGCGAAGTTGGGCCTGTACTTTCTTTCAAGTAAGTCTTCTATAATGGTTTCCTGTCATTTTTTTTTTTTCCTTTAGAAAACAAATTATTATATCTTAGTATTATAAAAAATATTTGAAAGTAATGATACATTCTTCTTTATCTATGAAATAACATTATTAAATTATTTTTAGATTGGTATTTGATCGTGAAACTGGGAAACCTAAAGGATATGGCTTTTGTGAATACAAGGATCAAGAGACTGCGCTTAGTGCTATGAGAAATTTAAATGGGTATGAAATTGGCGGAAGAACACTTCGGGTAGACAATGCATGTACAGAAAAGAGTCGTATGGAAATGCAAAGTCTTTTGCAAGGACAGAATACTGAAAATCCATATGGCGAGGCAGTTCAAGCTGATAAGGCTCCAGAGGCTATAAGTAAAGCTGTTGCTTCCCTTCCACCGGAACAGATGTTTGAGTTAATGAAACAAATGAAGTTATGTGTGCAAAATAATCCTAATGAGGCACGCCAAATGTTATTACAGAATCCACAACTTGCTTATGCCTTGTTACAAGCACAGGTAGTAATGCGAATAGTGGATCCTCATACTGCAGTTAATATGTTACATAAAGCTAATCCAATCCCAGGAGTATTAACACCTTCCGATAAACCAGTTACTCATCAGATTCCTCCACGTATTGAAGAACCATGGGCACCACCAAGACCTACACCAGTTTCCAATCCACCTGCACCGATTTTTGCTGGTATTAATTATGTATCTATTTCTATTATTCTGAATAATTTACAATGAATAAGTTTTCCAAGATTGTTGGTTATATCATTAGGTCAAGATGTAGATCTTAGAACATTAGATAGACAAATGGATCCTCGTTTAGCAAGAATGGATCAGGATTTAAGAGGACCACCCCAAACTCAAACAACCCCAGTTACCGCACCACCTATCATATCCGCTACTACTGACCCGAGAGGGCCTACTGCTTTTAATATAACAGACAAGTTAGTATACTATTCATATATTTTCTTACTTGAATTAATTAAACAAACATATTCAAATATATACTGTTTTTTGCAGCAGTCTTCCTGTAGAAGGAGTGGAGAGGTCTTGTTTATTATTTCAAATAATTGTTACTCGATAATTATTATCCATTATATTAACCTGATGGTTTATGATTTTGTAGCTTTTGTCGTGATCCAAGAGCTGACAGGTTTGGTAGAGATCCAAGGGATCCACGAGATCCCCGTATGCCTATTGATCCGAGAATTACTAAAGCCAATCGTATGTATATATTTACGGAAATCATTAATATGAAATAGTTTTATACATGATAATTTTACAGCACCTGTACCAGTAGCACCGCCAGTCGTACCAAGACCAGTAGCAGCACCTGCAGTTCCAGCACCGACTGCAGTTTCGACTAGTGTTGTAGGTCCTGCTACTGCTCTTTCAACATCTGCAAGTTCGGCTACTTCTAGACTCATGGCTGGTATGTCTCCAGCGGGAAATATACCAAGTGGTGCATCAGATCAGGAAAAGGTATGTTGGTTGAAATTATATATAAATAAATATATATAATTTAAAATAATTATAAGCAGATAATTAATATATGAAGTAATTATTATTTAGAAAGGAGATTTTGTTATGGTATTATCATTATTATTATTATTATTGTTGTTGTTATTATTTTTATATATATATTTATTTTTTTAGAAAAAAGTATTATAATTAAGAAGTTATAAAAACTTCTATATATATAAACATACAAATTATACGTTTTCTATTCATATTAATTTTTCTACAAATTAAACAACATCGGAAATATTAATATCTATTATATAAATTTATTTCTTATCACAGGCTGCTTTAATAATGCAAGTATTGCAATTGTCGGATGAACAAATTGCTATGCTTCCGCCAGAACAAAGACAAAGTATTTTGGTTCTTAAAGAACAAATAGCTAAAAGTACACAGCGTTAATGATACAAGATATAATAGATATCGCTTAACAAAATTATTTGTTATCACAAATAATGATAAAGACTATTATCTATATAGGAACATTATATTTTTTTTAAATTACTTATTTATATGTCTAATATATAAAACAAAACAAAACTTTTCATGTAAACTTGTTCTGAAATAAACATAAATGATTAAAGATTTTATTTTTTATTTTTTATTATTTTTTTTTTTTTTATTTATTTTATTTTGTTTTATTTTAATTTTTTTATTTGTTTCTTTTTTTTTTTTTTTTTCATCAGTCTTTCTTCGTCTTATTTATTTGAAAAAAACCGTCTCTGATTAAAGAACTATAAATCAATTTCTTACATGTTTTATCCACATATAATTCCACAGACAAATGGTCCTTACAACGTTCCTGAAATATAATCTTATTGCATCAGGGTCTTTTTTTTTTTTTTTTTTTAAATCATTTCATGTAAAAATAATATTAATTATTTCGATATTGAATTTTTACCTTAACTTTAACGGTTATACGATTACTATACTTTCGGTACATTTTTTCGATTTCCACTATTATGTTTGAGAATTTTTTACTAGTGGCAACATTAATATTCCATAATTGACATTTTATAGCTATTGTTGGTACACTGAACCATTCTTTTTTCAATATACGTAGATTACAACTTAAAAAAAAAAAAGAAAAAAAAAAGAAAAAAAGAAAAAAAAAAGATTTTACACAATATATATATAATAATAATTTATCTTATAAAACGATATGCAACGATACTTACTCTTCCAATGTCACTTTTCGATATTCATCATTTCCAAAATCAACGTACCATAAGTGAACGAAAGTCTTCTTTGAATTTTTTATTTTTGTAGTTTTTTTAATAATACATCTATACCAAATATCATCGTTAAACAAGGCACAACAGGGAGTATCTGAAGTATCCAATATGTAATAATCCATTAATTATAATTATGATTAAAATTTTTTTAACATTTACGATAATTTATATCGTTATAATATACTTACTGGAAACTAAACTTTCGATCAATGGTTGTTTAGGAGCTTCCCTTTGTAAACTTTCCATTAATATTTTATAACGATTGTAATAATCGTTTAATATCTGAAAAAAAAAAAAATAAATTAATGATAGTAATAAATGAACTATATTTTAAATCTAACATAACAACGAAAAATAGAATGTTTATCTCTAAAACCATTAATAATTATTTTTAATATAACAATTACCTTAGATTTTTTATTTTCCCTTATTTGAGTATAATATATAGTTGCTGTTTCAGTATAACATAAGTCTACTTCAAAGGTATCAATGTCATTGGGAATAATGATTGGTATATATGTGTCAAAATAATCGATATTTGTAATTTTTAAATTGGTATGAACTAATTCTTTTTTAATCATTTGTAAATTATTATTATGATTGTCTATCTCATCGAGATTATTTATTATTATAGAATTATCGCTAATAATGTCACTGTCTATATCTGATAAGTATTCCATAATCATTTCAGTATCTGTATCTACATCAGAGATTGTTCTATTATTCACTATGTATTTTTCAATAATTACATTCGAAGAATTCGAAGATATATTGTCTGAAGTAATATTATCCGATATTTCGATAGGATTCGTATATATTGAATTAGATGCCAAACGAATTCCTAATTCATTAGTAACGAAAGAAAGAAGATCGCATTGTTTTGGTTTCAATAATGTGATCGATACCTGTGAGAGATTATATATATATAGGTTGATATACATTAGATATATTAAAGTACAGATTAAGTGAATAAAACAATTAAAGAGATTTGATATCTTACAACTAAGTGCGTATCGGTTTTTTCTAAAACAGTAACTTTACATTCCTTTTCCACAAGAAATACATGTATTTTATCCAAATCTTCTATTTTCCATTTTCCTTGTTCCTGTATCAAAAAAAAAAAAAAAAAAAAAAAAAAAAAAAAAAAAATATTAACATTTGTAAAAATTCTTTATTAGAATTTGAAAGAGTTTTATTTAGATGGTATTACCGGATTTAAACCGGGAACAATGCATTTAATACACTGGATTGGTATATGTTCTAAAATAACTCTTTTTTTTACAAGTCCAATCGAACATTCTTCGATATTTCCATAATCAACAAATAGAACCTGTTTAATGAGAACGATATTTGTTTTTTTTTATTATTATTATTATTTTTTTTTTCAATAATACATATTAAAAAAATTCTATTCAAATGATCATATCATGTCATATGTTTATTACTCACCTCTATCGTATTTTCATCTAACACGGATAATACTTTCGCTCTGTACCACTTTTTGTTGCCATGATACTGCGCGATACATATATCTCCTTCCTTCCATTTTCTATCGCATGGTTTTATCTTGATCTTTTTATAAGAATCAGCTAACATTGTCTCTATATATTCTAACGTCCTTTTTGCTGTGGAATAAATAGTTTTTATTTTTTTAGAAAAGATTTTTTTTTTTTTTTGGTATACATTTTATATAATTTTCAAGTTAAAGATACTTTATGCATAATGAATATCGTTTGTTATTATAAAATATTTGCACAAATTTAATGATTATACCATTTTTTTTAGAATGTAAATAAATCATTCCAGAGTGATCCAAGTACGTTGGTATGGCAGTGAAGTTTTTCTTTTTTATTGGAAGTGCCGGTAACCAATCTGTTAAAATTGGTACTTGGATAGCATCGTTAATGCTCGATGTAGTATTAGAATCATCTTCATCTTCATCTTCATCTTCATCTTCATCTTCATCTTCATCTTCATCTTCATTTTCATCTTCATCTTCATCTTCATCTTCATCTTCCTCTTCTTCTTCTTCGTCTTCTATTTCATCCTCTATTTCATCCTCTACTTCATATTCTCCTTCATACTCTATTTCATCTTCTATTTCATTCTTTACTTCATACTTTTCTTCTTCGTCTTTTACATTTTCGACTTCTTCTTCATTTTTCGAATTTATATTTAAATGCATTGATATTATTTCTGACGTAGAAATTTCATTATTATTTTGTTCATTCGATTCAATGGAACATTCTAATCCTTCATTAACAGAGAACCATTTTATATTTTCTTCATTATCCTGATATCCTATCTGTGTTTCTAATAATTGTCGTTTAAATTCAATAGCCAGTATCTTATCTATTTTTGCATTGTAACTGTGAATTTCATTTGTGTTCAATTATTGGAAAAAAAAGGAAAAAAAAAAAAAATAAAAAAAAATAAAGAAAATTATATTTTTCATTTATTATTATTAAATTTCTATAACAATAGTTAATGTTATACATACTCTTTTATTGGTAAAGCAAATCCAGCTTCTACTAACATTTTGTTAATAGAATTGATTTCCGTTTTCATTGGCGATAATGGTCCATCTGGTTTTGATTGTTTCATCCATAGTTGAACGGGTATTATCTCTTTATTCTGTTCCATGTCCGACTATAAAATATATAAAAAAAATATATATATATATATAAAGAAAAAATTATTATACATCATATATGAAATCCTATGATTTAATTTTCTAATTTTTCAATGATTTATAATAAACTTACCATTTTCGTAATATAAAATTGTGAACTTTGATTTTCGTCTATTATTTCTGACAATTTTTGACAAGACACAGAAGGCCAGATTTTTGAACCGCCACATGGTAAAATACCGGCGAGCTTAACTTTAAATATATATGCCGGTTCTTGTCGAAATTGTCGATCTAACGGTTGTATGTGCTCAATTGGAATTATTTCCTCGATTGCCATATCATAAAATGATACTAAAACTTCTTTCGACGTAATGACGTTTAATATATAAGCGCGAAAATAACTTTTATCTTTTTTCGAATAAACGACACAAACGGAATCCTTCGTCCAGTTCTTTTCTTGTGGTGAATGATATTTTCTATAAAAATCTTGTAGCTTCGACATGAATATAAACTTTCCTTCTTCGCGTGACACGTCAGAAACATAAATACAATCGGGCGATATCGCTTTATGCACTTGAATGGATACTTTAAAGGGATCGGATTCGATCATCGGTGGATCATTTGGCATTGTTTCTTCGTTATTCCATTTTACATCGATCGGTAAAGGATTTTTATTTTCTTCATTTCTATCCTGTTTCAAACATAACAAATCTTTGTTCTCCTGATATATCAACGCGCTAAAAATCAATATAATGTTAGATGTCAGATAGGTTTGTTAATTAATTAATTAATTAATTAATCAATCAATCAATCAATCAATCAATCAATCAATCAATCGTTAATTTTGTTGAAAGAAATTTTTGAAGAGTCGTCTCTTACATTGGTTCTATTGGTTCGGCGAAACCTTTATTGATTAACATAGAATTGAAATTAATATTGTTAATATATAAATAAACGTCATAAATATTTTCATTTTTAAACATAGATATAACTTTGACATTTTTATTCGTCAATTGTAGCTTAGTTATCTGTATTGTCTGTAAACTCCATTGATTGTGATCTTCGGACAATGGAGATAAATCTTTCAAGGAAATATGTATCGCCTATATTTAACAATAATATAACGTGAATTAATAATAGTAATGATAATTTTATTAAATGGTAACAATTTTAAAAATATACATTACCTGCATTCTACTGCTCATGTAATAATGCGGCAATGATTTTAACATATTATGTTCCGACGTAATAGTATATCCAAAATCAACACAAAATACATCGATACTTTTTTCATTAATGATTTTCTTGATTAATCCACGATACCACATTCCATTTGAGTATAACGCGCATGGAGTATCTGATGATAATAATAATAATAATAATAATAATAATTATAATAATAATAATAACGATGATTAGATTGGGAACATCTTTCTTATGTTTACAAACGATTAAATTGATTATTTACTTATTTCAAGAGGACAGGCTAACATATTACGTCCTGCATTCTTTTTGTAAAATAACATCATGTCCTTCATAAGTTTGTTGATATGTTTACGATTTTCTCCAATCTGCAAAATGAAGAGCAACGACGACGACAGATATTTTAAATAGAACGCAGAAGGAAGCTTTTCAATAATTAATTCGAATATAAATTGAGAAAGAAGATTATGAAGTTTTCTCTTTACCTTCGTAACGTATATGGAGTTGGGTGATTCGACGTGTTGAACTGTAACGTAAACGTATATCTCCATTTCAAGTTCCTCGTGAAAGTAAATTACTATTGGTAATGGATTTAATATCTGCAAATGATAAAAAGAAACGATCAAATATACATATACACATACACACACATATATACATATATAATAATTTCGTGAAATTTTCTAGAAAATTTAATTTATTTGCCTTTAATCTTTGGGACGACATAAGGGTGCCATGTTTCATAAATATCATTAAATCGCGTATCGAGCTATTTTCTTCTTGCGGATTATTCGATTTGAAACAAAGATCGACGTAATGTATATTGCCAACGGTATGAACGACGTACATCAATAGTGAATCATTTCTGTAAGACGACGAAAAGAGAGATGAGAGTACTTTTTTTTGTTTTTTATTACGAGCGACGTTCTCTATATTCATTAAAACAAAGAAGAAAAAATAGGAAGAGAAAAGAATAAATAACATGAAAATATTGTCATAAATCGGACATATTTACTTACTTATTAATTAATTTACGAAATGTATCGGTAGCACTCTTGCTCCAACGATCATTCGTCGGTGAGATGTTGTGGAGAGAACATTTTGTTGCCAATATAGGTACTGCTGCCAAATAGTATGGGATCAGCTTAAAGCGTTTAATCGATACATTACGTTCGATGTATCCATTGTCGACGTACAATATGTCGTAGGTTTTATCGCCGTTTTGATTTAAGTTAATTTTTATGACCTTTCCACGTTGCCATTTTTTTTCCCGTCGCGTGCAATATTTTAACATATACATTGTACCGACTGTAAAATAATAACGATTAAGAAACGTATTAACAATTTTAACAATATTGAATGTATGAATTAATTTTTAAACGGACAAATACGACGGACAATGAATTTCGTATATAAAAGAAATTTTTATTATATATACCGATAATATCATTTGTTGGATTGATCGCGTTCGTGCTATAAGCTTCAAGATCGTTCGTTAATTTTTCTGCTTGCTTCTGAGTCGACATATTTCGAACGTAAAAGCAGGAAGGATCGACGACCTTCAGTACTTTAACCAATTCGTAAGCTTTAAAATACATTAAAAAAAAATCTTTATTAGTCGGATCACGACATCTGTAATAAATTGAATTATATATATACACACACAAGACTGGAAATAAATGAAGATCGATCATGGATCGATTCATCGATCAAGATCGATGAATAATTCGTTCATTGAAATACATGGAATGAATTGTTTTTTCTTTTCTTTCCTTTTTTTTTTTTTTTTTTTTTTTTTTTTTGATTACGAATAATAAATATTATTGTGTACCGTTTCGTGATATACCTGTTGGTATTCAAAAATGATTTTCGCGCGCGTTTTACATGAGAGTTCGATGGAAGAATCGTTGTCCATTGTTCTTTAACGCATTCGTAGGTGAAAGTTCAGTCACGAGTAGACAATCCATTTTACAATGGCTCATTGAAACGTGTTATGACACGAGAGAACAATGATATTTTCTCTCTCTCTTTCTCTCTCTCTCCCCCTCCCTCCCTCCCACCCTCCCGTTCGAAATCTCTTTGAATCACTGCGTTCGTTCGCTTTAATGAGCAAATCTGCGATTGTGTCGAATCATATAGTCTCGATCAATCGTCGAAGATAAAACAATTCGAAAAAGTATTGAAAAGAGGATTGGAAAAGCGAAACGAACCAGTTTTGGCTTTAGCCAAACAATTGTCGATTTATCTGTCGATCGGTGATTCGATTGATTTTTATCATAACCATTCGTGGAACTATATAAAACGATGTTCTCGTTAAATACAGAAAGGATAATATTAATTCGATTTTTTTTTTTCCTTTTCTTTTTCTTTTTCTTTTTTCTTTTCTTTTCTTTCCTTTTTTTTTGTTTTGTTTTTTTTTTGTTTTCTTTTTTTTTTTTTTGGCATAATTTACTTACATTCCAATCGAAGGGAGCTTTCGGTATTTCCAGAAGAAAGAGAAGTCACGGAAATGGTTTTGTTTGGTGGAACCGAAAGTTCTTCTTCCATCGAGGGATCTATTGAATTAAAAGAAATATTTAAACAATACATTTCCGTCAGTATAATTTTCATTTTTCGTTCGTTCGTTCGTTCTTTCTTTTTTTTTTTTTTTTTTTAATAATGTTAATTATCTTCATAATCGCACGAAAGATTCGATGGTTGTTTCGTTATATATCGTAAAATATTTGTATTGTTAAAGGGGAAAAAAAAAAAAAAATCATAATTACTTTAGCACACGTTCGTGATTACGACGATGGAGGGGAATAAAAAGTTATGCTTATTTGAAAGTTATTATTACAGGGAGCAATAGAAACGAGAGAAGAACGACATCGCGACGTTAAATATTCTTTTGCTTTTTTTCTTTTTTTTTTTTTTTTCCATTTTCTTTTTTCCTTTTTTCTTTTTTTCTCCGTGAAAAAATAAGTCGGTAGGAAATAGGCATTCGGAGGGAACCACCAAGACGTTGGACTGTGTTGCTCCTCTTCAACTTGCGAAACATTATGGCGTAACGAGAAACGAATTTAATGGTAACCGCGTAAAAAAAAGAAAAAAAAAGAAAAAAAAAGAAAAAAGAAAGAAAGAAAAAAAAAAAAGAAACAAGAAATCAAACGATTTCTTCGCAATGACGACAATTCGAAGAGATTTCTTTACTATTCGAAATAGCTATGGTGTTATCCAAAGGTTCCACTTGGTAATTTTCGGGCAAGAGTTTGGTACGCAATAGATAGAATTGCATCTTCGAAGGTATCCGAAGAGTGCAGTGTTTTTCTAGAACATCGATGATGCTTTCGTCGGGTTTAAATCTGTAATGAGAAAAAGATCGATATTTTAACAAGAAAAAAAAAAAAAAAAAAAAAAAAAAAAAAAAAAAAAAAAAAAAAAAAAAAACGAAGTCTCTCTTCCGTTCCTTGCACAAATTTTTTTTCTCCCTAGTGATAAAAGGTCCAACTCTTTTTTTTCTTTTGTTTTGAACTTCTTTCTTTTTTTATTTATTTTTTTTTTCCCTTCATTATGATACACTTTTAAAACTTACATTATTTTGTCCTCGTTAATAAATGACTCTTTTATCAAGTGACAAGGTACATCGGCGATATCTTTCAATTTGCATATGACATTTTCCAAATCGATTCTTTTGATATTCTCTTTCGCGGTAGAGGCTACCTGTAAAATAATGATAATACCAAAAAAAAGAAAAAGAAAAAGAAAGAAAAAAAAAAAAGGAAAGTAGGAAAAAAAAAAAGAAAAGAAAATATTCAGTATTGCGTGACACTCGAAGGACTTTTAACTATGGCATTAAATTATCGTTAAATGCCGAACGATAAGTATTACAGGGTTCTTCTTTGCTTGTCGAGAGAAGACTATAAAGAACACGAGGTGAATGCAAAAATCTGGTGGAAGACAACGATATCGTTTGTAACGACGATGAAAAGGGAGAGAGTCCACATGACTCTTTTTTCTTTTTTAACTTTCGCGAGTTTATGATTATAGTCGCTTGAAGCTTTTTCAAGGGTAGACGTGGATTAGAAAAAAAAAGAGAGAGAGAGAAGACACGAATGATAAAATTGTTGCAAGCTGTTTTTTTTTTCCTTTCTTTATCTTAAGAAAGTGAAAAAGAACGAAACGTAAAAAAAAGAAAAAAAAAAAAAAACAAAAAACAAAAGACGAAGCACGAAACAAAAAGATTCTTCGTAAGAAAAAAAAAAAAAATTACTTTTTCTAAGTATTATGAAAACAAGTTATATTATTTTTCTTATGCATCTTTAGGGCCTAGCATGAAAATTTATATACCATATCAAATTGAATTTTACGCGCATATCCAATAAATTCTAGCGTTTCTATATTGTCGATAAACGAGCTCGTGCTCGAACTCTCGAGTAACCAAACCGGTTGCACAGTTTCGTGGCCCTACATATATGTAAGAAGTAAGTGATTATGAAAGTAGTCTAATTGTAAGTCGTGTACGTGAGATATTAAAAGAGATATTTTATCGTAGCTACGTGATTTATGTTAAAGATTTTTAACTTGGCACGAAGTAATTATTTCTTATCTTTTTTTTTTTCTTTTTCTTCCTTTTTTCAAGAATAAATAAATAAATAAATAAATAAATAAATAAAGATATATATATATATATATTAAGGCAAAAGAAATACATAAAAATAACGCACCAATAATGCTCCCTGTAATTGATTTTGATGGGACTTCAGTTGGGTCTCGAGTTCCGTGATATTCTTAATATAGCTATTATTCTGTTCATGAATTTTATCGATCATTCTTCTTTCAATATTCTGTAGGACGCCGTGCAAACGAGCAAAATGTTGTGTTATCGTAGTTTCGATAGTTTCGTTGTTTTCTATTTCCGTTTGCGACATCTGCATAGTTTTCAGTTTCTGAAAAAATATAATGAAAAAAGATAATGATCTCTTTTTTTTTCCTTTTTTTTTTTTTTTTGTCGAACAAATTTTTCTTTTTTCTTAAATTTAACGAGAGTCATCGAGGATTATTTAACACAGCGGTCATCGATTGAATATTTTGAATAAGAAGTCACAATCCCGTCATTTCGAAGAAAACATATCGGGAGGAGGGAAAAAAAATTTGAATATTTACATTCGATCGATTTCATCGAATGAAAAATAGAGACGATAGTTCGAACGGCGGCTTGTGATACATTTTATTAAATTCTTCGTTGGGTTTTCATGGTCCGATAACGATGCCATAGTTAAATCGTAAGTTTCGCCGCATCGAATTCCGTATATTGAAATATTTGGAATATCAGCCAGAAAAGGTTTATAGCAAGTCCGCATATCGTCGGATAACAAACGGGAGAAAAAACGTATGCTGTTGGTCGGTAGATGTATATCAATCTATCTATCTCTTTCTATACATATATACGTACATATATACATACATACATACATACATACATACATACATACATATATATACGTGTATACGAAAATTCGTACGAGTTTGCGAGCTTTCTTTTTTTTTTTTTTCCTTTCCATATTTTTTCTTTTCATTTCTTTTCCTTTTTTTCTTTCCCTCTTGTGAGAAACATAAAAATCAATCTAATACATAGATAAATTCGATATGATTATAATAAATTTATTAATACAGATAGATGATAGTATATACGTACGTATATACACATTTTCTCTTAGATACGATTAGAATGTTCTATCGAGTTACGCGCAAGTATATTGTATTTTTTTTTTTATTTAAGCAATAATTTCGTTAAAACGAAAAAAGAAAAAAAAAAAAGCAACATTTTACATTTTAAGTGTATCAATATACACGCCGTAAAAAATTGAAAAAAGGATGAATGGATAAAGAATTAGATCGAATAAATTTCTTCCGTCTTAATATCGTCGTATTTCGATTGCAATAAAGTATCACGAGTGTTATTATCGCGTAAATACGATCGTGAAGAGTGCCGTTTAATTTGTTACTCCTCCTACATCTCCGTCTCCACTCACCCACTCGTCATCCTCCCCATCTTTTCTTCTCCCCTTTCATTGTCATTCGTATCCTTATAAAAGGATCTTTTGGAATCACAATAGCGATTAAAAGTAACGCTATCCATAAATTCCTAATCCTTGATTTACATTTTACTTTTATCAATGTCAAAGACATTATGTTCGCCATGAACTAGAAATCAATCGAATTTCTCGAAAAACGAGTCGGACGACTCGTAACTTTTTATATACGTTTACCTTTTTTTACTTTTGACACAAAGAGAGCGGAATAAGTGGTGGTCGAACTAAAAAGTATCAGAGCGAGTGAGCTTTATATACAGAATAAGGAGAGACAGGGAGACATATATAGAAAAACAAACACACACACAGAGAGAGAGAGAGAGAGAGAGAGAGAGAGAGAGAGAGAGAGAGAGAGAGAGAGAAAGAGAGAAGGAGAGAGTAAACGAGAAATAAAAAGAGGAATAAAACGAAGAAGCTAGGTAGGATATATATCCTACCTATAGCCGAGATCGAGGCACTCCGTGAAAGGAAAGAGAGATTCTCTCGCGAGACAGGCTTCGGTGCTCCGTTCGTCGTCATGTTGTGAGAGAACAGAGATTGGAAATGGCAGGGAGTCGTCGAAGGAATGGCTCTGACTAGTGGCGAACGTACAAGTTCCCTCAGTCTTTCGCCTTCCGAGGACCGGTAATCGTCGGTAGATTGTATTCTCTTCTCTGTTTCATCGTCCTCGACGAATTTATATATCATTCGTATCTTTTCATAGAATAACTTATTTATTTATTTATATCATTTAACGCGAATAAGAGAGAGATAGATAGAGAGAGAGAGAGAGAGAAAGACAGAGAGAGAGAGAGAGAGAGAGAGAGAGAGAGAGAGAAAGAGAGAAAGGGATACAAAGAGACAGAGATAGAGAGAGGAAGAGAGAAGAATAGAGAAAAATAGAGAGAGAGAGAGAGGGCGTGAGTGAGAGAGAGAAAGAGAGAGAGAAAGAGAGAGAGAGAAGCCCGTTTCCGGTAGCTTCGAGAAAGTGAAAATGAAACGTGATTGCTCGTCGTAGTAGCGGCTTCTTCTTTCGTTCGTAGAACGGAGGAGGAGGAAGAGGAGGAGGAGGAGAAGGGGGAGGAGGAGGAGGAGGAGGAGTGTGCCAAGGGAGCGTGGAAGTTGTTTTAAGGGTAAAGAGGCGTGAGGAAGGCCGAGGATGTGGCTTTTTCGTCTCGCTATCGTCTATCTTTGCGCCGAGATCGTTCTACCATCTATGACCGGTGAGTTTATTAATAATTTATCATTTTATATTGTTCAACAAAGATATATATATATATATATATATATATATATATGTGTGTGTGTATTTTATTTTTATTCTTCTTTTTTATTTTATCCTTCTTTCCTTGTCCTTTTTTTAATTTCCTTTATATTTTTATCTGATAAAGTCGTAAAAGCTTTAATCGTGAACTTCGAATCAAAAAGGATATATTGTCGTAAAGCGCAGAAAAAGATGAGTGTTATTTTGGTACGTACTACGTAGGTATGTACAATGTATATATATGTATTTATGTATCTACCTACGTACATACGTAGGTAGGTAGAAATGAGAGAGAGAGAGAGAGAGAGAGAGAGAGAAAGAGAGAATGTTCGGAGTACCGCGTAAGCGGAAAATTTTTCAACGATCGGGAAGGCTCGTGGGAAAACGTGCTACGCCTTCCTAACGTACGACATCTAGATTCTACATATATAAATATATATGTATGTATGTATGTATGTATGTACATACATACATATGTACAAGAGTATCGTTCCTCTCTCTCTCTCTCTCTCTCTCTCTCTCTTTCTCTTCTCTCTCTCTCTCTCTCTATCACTTTCTCTAACAGAAGCCGGTAGTTACGTCCACTTCATCGTACTGATTAATATCTCATTAAGGATTCTCTATCGTATCGTAAAATACGATACAAGTACGAAACAAGTGCGGATAATATATTTACGTGAAATATATTTAAGAATGCGTACGAGAATATTATCAATGACGAATGATTAGAATGTGTGTGTGTGTGTGAGAGAGAGAGAGAGAGAGAGAGAGAGAGAGAGAGAGAGAGAGAGAGAGAGAGAGAGAGACAGAGATAAACAGAGAGAGATATTGATTATCTAATACATTCTCATTTCTTTCTTTCATCTATAATAAATAATTAGAATAAAGGAATGCAGTTTTTGTCAGGATATTATAATACAGATATAATTCGTGATATATCTTGATAAATCAATCTTATGTAATGTTTGTAAAGAAAAGAAAAGAAAAGAAAAAAAAAAAAATGAAAATAAATAAACAAAATAAAAATCATGTATCATAAATCATTATCCATTAGAGATTTAACATGTTAAAAAAATGATTCTATTATTGAGTTTCCTTATCGATGTTGAGATATTCTATAAAATAAAACAATGTCCGTTTCACTCACCCTCCTTCGTTCTCTCTCTATCTCTATCTCTATCTCTATCTCTATCTCTATCTCTATCTCTATCTTTATCTCTATCTCTCTTTCTATTTCTCATCCTCTTCATAGAAACGTTCATTCCAAAACGTTCTCATTCCTTGGAAGGTATCTCCGTTCGATATCTTGTTTACTTCGATAAATGAGACCTGGCAAATCTGTTCTAACGTCTTCGTGGTTGCAGTGTTAATTATAATCATTGAAATGATCAAAGGAAGTAGCCTGAGGGTGACATGTGGCGATTAAACGAAGCGAATGTCGAATCAAGTTATAATTAAGATTCGAATTCGTGATATACATATGTATCTATTATACACGTATATATATATGCGTGCGTATACGTATATATATGTGTTGGCTTTTTTTCTTTCCTTCGTTTTTTAATCATTCTTTTTTTTTTTTTTTTTTTTTTTTTTTTTATTACCAATCGTCATATTTCTCAATGAGTTTTCTTCGATAGCGTAATTATCGATAATCTTATTTAGACGAAAACGATGAGAGAGAAAGAGAGAGAAAAAGAGAAAGAAGAGAGAGAGAGAGAGAGAGAGAGAGAGAGAGAGAGAGAGAGGATGATCTTCGTGAGGTCGAAGGCTGATCAAAGATTATGATGTCGATCCGTAAAAAAACGAAGTTGTGGGTTATCCTTGAACGAGAGTTATTTCTCGATCTAGATCGGTCAGGTTCTAAAGAACCTTTCAATTGACTTCGAAGCGAGAGGGAGAGAGAGAGAAAGAGAGAGAGAAAGAGTACTAGTGTGTTCCTCTAGTACGAAGGAACTCTCTTCTTCCGATGATCGTTTTTCATTGTATCAAGTAAACTCGTAGATATGTCGGTATCTTAAAAAAAAAAAAAAAAAGAAAAAAAAAAAGAAAAAAGAACAGAAGAAGAAAAAGAAAAATTGTAAAAGAAGAATGTTAAGGACGTATACAGCGAAGAAACAGCGGGATATATAACAAGGATGATACATATATCCTTGTATACTATAGAATTCTTGATCCTTTTATCTCATTGATTGTATTTAATAATAACTTAACCATGACACACTTATGGTACATGTTCTACGTTTAATTATAACAAATGTTGAATATCCAGATTCATCTATATATATATATTATAGATATATACATCTTTATTATACCATTATATATATATATATATATATATATATATATAATATATATATTTAATAATAACTTAACCATGACACACTTATGGTACATGTTCTACGTTTAATTATAACAAATGTTGAATATCCAGATTCATCTATATATATATATATATTATAAATATATACATCTTTATTATACCATTATATATATATATATATATATATATATATATATATATATATATATATATATATAAGGTAACCACTATAAATATTTGCAATGTGAAAAGGGACGGTGACATCAGAAGTGAGAAATCGTAACTATTG